CGTTAATTGTAAAATAACTTGGCCATTCAGCTCCGTTTTGAGGCGTGGGTTTCCTAAGAAAGAAATTAATAAATAATCGTGGTTCAAAATTGATTTTAACAAGTATACCCTGTTTTGGCAAAACCAGTGAGGAATTGCATCATTTGACCGGAGATCTCGCGTGCCCTATCCGTATAGTCGTTGGCGTAAGGATCGATGAAAGGTATGCCAAACATGGGGTCCACATCATGTGCATGACAGACACCCATCCAATAGGAACAAAAGCCATTGTTTTGTAGTTTGGCGTTGAAGTAGTACTCAAAGACATTAGCATGGTAATTACTCTTGGAGAAGACTGTTTTGGCGAAGAGCTTAGTGGGACAGGCAAGGAAATAGTCACCAGTTGCTATGCCTAGAGTTTTCAACAGTGTTTCATTGGGGTCGCCGTCGGACAGTCCCGTGAAATACAGTTTCGCCACATCTTCTCCATTGATAGGCAGTTCGCTATTCATTCTACCAGACATATCTCGTAAATAATTATAGGCTTCACTATAAGTCATATTCTTTGGATTCAAGGCATCGAATATCACGGTATCGTTGAAATTGTTGAGCAGAAAAGCACCCTCGTCCTCAACAGTGATGATCATTAGGTTAACATTTGTTTTAAAATTACCCGAGCTCAACATATCTCTTGGCTTGTTCGATAGGAAATCTCCGTCGCTGACCACGAGAGGAAACACCTTAACTGATCCGGTTATCAGGTCAAAGAAATCGGTGACTTTTATCAATTCGGAAATATCTGCAGCTCTAAGGCAGTCCATTATTTGCTGGGTGAAAAATGTTCCTAGGCTCAATGGATCGGAACAACCAATCCTTGCAGCGCCTTTAAGCCAGCGCTTTATATGATCCAAACCGCTGTCGTCATCGAATTTGTTGAGATAAGCGCCCGAACTCATGATTGCATTCTTGAATAAATTTCGACTTTTCGGTGATATTATGTGCAGACTCACAGACCAAGAACCAGCGCTTTCGCCGAAAATTGTCACCTTATTGGGGTCTCCACCAAAATAATGTATATTATCATTAACCCATTTGAGACCTAGATTCTGGTCCAAAAGGCCGACATTGCCAGGTGCTCGACTATCACCAGAATACAAGAAACCAAATATGTTGAGCCTTTAAACATACAAGATATAAAAGATATAATTCTATTTGCTATCATGGTAATATTGTATCAGACCTGTATGAAACCGATACGACAACCACATCTCCTCTGGCAGACAGCAAGTCACCATGGTAACTGTATTCACTGGGAGAGCCTACAAGTAGACCTCCGCCGTGAATCCATACCATAACTGGTTTGAGCGGACCATCGACACCACTACCGACCGGTGACCAGACATTCAGATAAAGACAGTCCTCGCTAATATTCTTATTGGTCATAGAGTCACCGGTTTGGAATCGGGTCGGGTCTTGAGGACACGCACTTTGGAAGTCGAACACGTTTTTCGATTCGTTCCAATTGTCGATTGGAACCGGTTTTCTGAACCTCAGGTCTCCTATCGGTGGCTTTGCGAATGGTATACCTTTGAAGACATTCAATTGTTTGCCATCTATTTCCATCACTTGCCCGATAACTACACCATTATTTGTCTGAAAAGGACCAGTTGTGGCTGTAAGGATCTGGCTAACAAACAGTGGAATTGAAAACAGCAAGAAGTTTGATATAACTAACGAGAACATTATTACAATTGAAATAGTGGATATAAAAGGTGCAAATGTATGTATACGGTAACAGTCAAGAATGTCATTTTGTAAAATGTCCTTTGTAAAATGTCCTTTGTAAACTGTCTTTTGTAAAGTGTCCTTTGTAAAATGTCCTTTGTAAAATGTCTTTTGTAAAGTGTCCTTTGTAAAGGATTACAGGATTTATTGCCGTATACTTTGCTGCCGTGATAAACATTTATTTACAAGCAAAATTTTTCTTTTGCAATAAAAAAGTTAATCTTTCGATTTTTCCTTCAATTAAGTTATATGATTAAGTTGGATAAGATAGTGATTACCACAGACTTTTCCAGTTTTCTATCTCAAAGTTTGATTTGTCATCTCAAACGTTCGTAAACCCAACGTTAAAGCCTATCTATCGTCCGTAATTATATCGAAGGTTTATATTTTCTCTATCTTGTATCTCAATGGCTTATATTTCATGGCAAAGATGAATAGAAATTTGCTGAAAATTTCTTCTTCTACTAGATTTATTTTCTCGTTTTCGCTGCTTGTTTTTTGTCATCCGAAGTGTTTATAAACTAATGTGAAGAAATACTATTATTCTGATACAGAGGTGAGCATATTGTGATCATCAACTTATCCAAGCTATAATTCATATAACTTACCAATATTAATTAAAATATGGCTTGATTGAACAGAATCGATAAATTTATTTTTATTCTCTTTTACATAACGAAAACAAAAAATGAATAAATTTCAGAATAATTGAGTTAATGAAAGAAAAGAGAAACGCGCCATTTAGTAAATGAATGTTTCATTTTTTATCAAAATAGTTCTGATATTTCGGTAAAATGTTTTGTGTGAAGACGAAGAAAGACTTGATATCGTATTAACAAATAATTCAAGTACTATAAAATCGTGTTTTGATTGAGAAAGATTCTACCGATATGGACGATTAAATTTTTATAAACAGAGCAGAGGTCGAAAAAACAAATAAAAAAATGATTGAATAATAGTTGACGAATTCATACTTAATTAGAAGCCACGATTAAAAGAAAAAAATATTCCAAAAAGATTAAAAATTTTTTTCAAATTTAATTTCATATATATTTGCAATTATTAAATACAAGTTCAATTATCAATGTTTAATTAGCATCAAAAACAATAAATGGTCCAAATATAAGCGAATATTTCATTAGATTTTCTTCCATGCTATGGTGGTATTATCACATTCTATATCCTTACATCGGATACTATATGTACGGTTCTTTGTATCTCTTATGATCGCTACTCAATTACGTTTATGATGAGCATTTTTCTTCGGACAATATCGGTAATTTCCACCTATATTATAAAATAGTAAATTCTTATAATAATCACCATAGCGACATGAATGAATATATCCTTGATGAGCTGGATCATTTTTAATCATAGTTTCCACAAAAGCAGTAAATTCTTGTTTATTCTTTTCAAATAATTTTACAAAATTGACTTTGTAATTGTAAAATGAACCTGGTGTATTTTGACCAGTAATACCGTTAAGATATGTATCAGTAGAAGATAAATTCTCAAGATATTCATTAATGACAGGAATATTGACAATTTTTTCCAATTTTATGGTATTTGAAGTACAATGAAAATCGATAATTGGATCGAGCTGGAATTCATTATTATTGAAGCAGATTTTTGATATTAGATCATTTTCATTGAAACTGATTAAAGTTTTTTGTAGAATATTATAAGCAGACGATTCCATTTGTCCATCAAATGATAATGCATTAGATAGAATAAGAGTATTGTTTTGACCATATTTCACCCTGTTGAACAAGTGAAACTGTTGATTTTTTTAAAATATACATTCATGTCAATAGCTATTATATAATTGTTTGTTTTATTTCGCACAATAAAATGTGCAATATCCGCAATAGAAACATACGGAATTGATGATTGACAAGAAGTACAATAGCTGCGTAATGTCATTACATGTGGGGCTAAAAATTCGATTAAATTCGATATATTGGATTGTTGTGCAGATAAATGAAGGCTTAATACTGCACATTTGTGTTTAGCAATTGATAACAATAAATAATGAATGATAGTTTTTATGAAAAACCCTAAGGCAGATGTGTTTTCAAACAGAATTGTTGGCTTTGCATGAATAAAATGATACGATATCTTTTCGGTAGTCGATCTGAAAGAGATCGGAAAATATTACTGAACAGAAAAATATACACGGACAAATGTTTATTCAAATAAACTCTGATTACTGTCATTCAATGGAAATATTTCATTGTAAATACAAAATGCTAAAAAACTTCCTCAAATATTCTTATTTTCTTTTAAGATACGAAAATGTATTCTTATCCCATCTCAAGAAAGACAACAATAAAGTATCATCACAATTCTTTAAAAGATTCACTATTACTTATGCTTCTAAAACTAGAAATTGTTTTAGAATGTTTTCAACATGAATTTCTGTTGTATCAATATGAGTATCTGGAGCGTTCCGAAGATGATAAAGTATTTTGAGACAACATATTGGTGCAATATGATGATTTTGTATATCAGAATTCTTATCTATCTTATATTCGAAATCAATATAAGTTTTTACGGATTTATTTGAAGGGATAGATTCATATAAAGTACGCTTTGCAAAAGGACAAGATTCATGTAAAATGTTTAGTTGTTCGATTGTAAGAGCACGAAATTCACGATATTTATTTTCTTTTTCCATGCTTATCAGAGGTCGAAAACGAACCAATCCGAACCGAACTATAACGGTTCGGTTCGGTTCGAATCGATCCGAACCGAACTCGAACCGACTTTTTGGAAATAAAGTCGAACCGAACCGAACCCGAACTGACTTTTAAAAATGGAGTCGAACCGAACCGAACTCGAACCACTTTTTCAAAAATGAAGACGAACCGAACCGAACCTGAAGTTTTGAAAAAACAACAGTTGATGACAGTTTAATGTTAGATCACAAAAAAGTAATTAAACTATCATTGATTTAGAAAAGTATAATGCCGTGGACAAAGATAAAAACGAACATTTATCGATTGTTTTACGTGGTTAATTTGATATCCGTATATTGCAGTCTCTATTTTTCTCTCAGTTTTATAGTTACACAAATTGTGTTTATGATTATAAATCGCTTCTACGTGCCATAATTATTTGATTTTTCTTTTATAAATTTCTCCATTGTTCTAAAGTACGATGAATAATCGTCCGTAATGGTATGAGATTAATATTAGCACTAAAGCATCTATGATTCTTGTATATCAATGTTAACATATAATTTTAATCTACAAATGTATCTATTAGTAGTAATTGATACGAATATGAACCCTCATGTGACATTTTTGATCATCGGACCACTAAGTTTTGACTTCTGGTCTAGTCTTGATTAAATGATAGTAATACTACTCCAGTCGAACCGCAACCGAACTGATTTTTTTAAAGACGAGCCGAACCGAACCGAACTCGAACCACTTGCTCGAAAAGTAGGTCGAACCGAACCGAGCCCGAACTGGTTTTTGCAAAATGAATCCGAACCGAACCGAACTCGAACCGTGTTTTCAAAAATAAGCTCGAACCGAACCGAACTCGAACCTATTTTTCAAATGTGAATCCGAACCGAACCGAACCCGATCTAGAAAAACTCGGTTCGATTCGACCTCTGATGCTTATACAGATACGGTTTTGTTATCAATTTGTTCCAATAGTCGATCATTCAAGTCAGATATGTGATACGTCACAACGGCATCTGGAAAAAGACGTTTGATCAAGTTTTGAATAAAAGACATCGTATATATGTTTTATGTATTCAATCAATTTTTTCTTATATACCGATCAATAATGAATAATAGCGTACCGCGCATAAAAAAAAGGAAAATAAAAGAAAATAAAAATATTTTTCAATTTTCGTATTCGCTTTTCGTATTCAATTTCCGCAGATGTTATTCATAAACAACAATTGATTCTTTCCCTTCACACATATTCCTTAAAAAAATGATTGAGAAATTGTTAGCGATCACGAGTGTGCTCGCTACTGTTTCTTTTTCTCCTCTGTTATGCATCACTTTTAGAGACATTCTTTCTCCTTTACATTCATACAGTGTTTTGTGCTTCTTCGTTTCATATTCTGTTTTTTGAGGGTGTGGGTGTGGGTGTGGGTGTGGGTGGGTGGGGTGTGGGTGGGTGTGTGGGTGTGTGGGTGTGGGTATGTGGGTGTGGGTGGGAGTGGGTGTGGGTGGAGTGTGCGTGTGGGTAGAGTGTGTTGGTGTGGGCTGTGAGGGTATGGGTGTGGGTGTGAGTCTATTCTTAACACCCACACCCCACACCCACACCCACACCCCACACCCACACCCACACCCCACACCCACACCCACACCCACACCCACACCCCACACCCACACCCACACTCTCACACCCACACCCACACCCACACCCACACCCACACCCACATCCACACCCACACCCAAGAGCAGCAAAATCAGTGAAATCACTGGAAATAGATAAAATCACGGGAGTACGGAGTCAGCTGTTCCCCCTTGATAAAAACAGTTTGTTCTCTTAACGAATAGAACTAACAATTAAACAACGATATACATAAATTTACGTATAGTGACAAACATTTAACAATCCATAACCTTCTATGGCGGTTGACATCGAATTTCTAATTGTTTCTAGGTAACATCAGCATATGAGAGAAAAAAAAAGGAAGAAAAGAAAGGCAAAAGAGAAATATAAAGGGCATTACAAGAAAACAGAGGAAAATACTACTTGACAACATAGAGAGCATGTTTATGTATGTATATGGAAGTGCGAAATAAGTAGATGAGGAAAAGATGAGAACAGAAGATAAAGAGAAGAAATAAGGATGGTTGAAGAATGAAAGAAGTAGTAAAAATAACTATACAAGTATAGAAAGAAAATGAAAGAAAGGAATATTTTCTTCATATTATTACTTGAAGGCGAAAGAAAAGCAATAGGAAAGAAAAATGCAGAACGAAAGAGAAAACATGCAGACAGAAGGCGTAGCACAATGTATGACTAATACGACGGTAAGAAAATTTCCATAATTTTGTTATCTATTTTTGAAGTGATTTCATAAGTGTAGTGATGGGGTGATATATCGCCCCATCCCCCATTTGGGGCGTCACCCCATGGGTGCCTCAGCGGACATCTCTGATCCAGTCCTACAATCTTTTGTATTAATTTGTTTTATTTTAAAAGCTATTAGACAAATTAACATCTAACAATTTGCGTACTCTAGATTTGTAAATAATCAGCTAACAAATATTCTTTTTGTGATTAATCGAACATTATTCTGCAATGCATCTACTAGAGGTTATACTTCGTTATGATAATTGAACTATCTACATAGAATAGTTGTATCTTTCTCTATAAAAATCTTAAGAGAAAAACAACAATAAAAACAGCAAGCCACGTGCAGAAGTCATTGCTGACTGTGTGCTAGAATCAACGTTGATTTCGATGTATAGAAATAAAAATTATAAGTACTCAGCAAGATCATTTCCGATTCTTTCTTCCTTCCTGTTCTTCACTGGAAAGAAAAAAGGCAGCAACATGAGAGTTAGTGAAATCGTCGACTCAAGGCAGGAGATATATCGTCACTAGTGATATAAGAGAAACGCAACAAAAAAAAAACATGTCATGCGTCAGTATTGCGCATTAATGTAGAATATTGACGGATGATTATTTAAATGTAGTATTTTGCCTGTTTATTCGAATATTTTTCTTTTTATTTTCTTTCTTCTGTTTGACGAGTTACTGTGATTGAAAGAAAAATGAACTCTTAGCAATTCTGTAAGTTTCTTTGATTAATAACTACCAGAAAAAAAAAGACACATCTTCTAGAAATCTTATGAAAAATTGAGTGTCAGTTAAATCGATGTATATTTTTTTTCTTTACATATTAGCGACTGAATTTTACTTTTATCACCCTTATCAATTATTGATTAAAAAAACGTACTGAATTCTCTTACGTATAGTATTCATTATGTATAGTTTCCTGTCTTTTTAATCCACATCTCGAAGCAAAAATTAGATTGCATCAGAGTAACATTTGAATATTACAAAAATCTATTTGAACGATGATGAAGTATTCTAGATGAGAGAATCGAAGATTCCTAGAAAATAAAATGATGATTTATGGTTATTTTGTTGATTCTAATTTGTAAAAATATCAATAAAAAATCGGTGAATTCTGTTCTAATTAATTTTTCAAACACTCCTATAATATTTCAATAATAGCATTGTAGGAAACTTTGAAAAAATATTCATGATCTCAAACATAAAATCATCTTTAATTCTGCTTTCAGATTCTACTAAAGACACCATGACGCATCAGACAACGTTAGATGATATCGTTGTTTTGGATCTCCCTGTTCAATCTACTGATGAAGTTGAAACAAATATGAATGCAGACACATCTGAGTATGAATACCCGCAGCTTCACTTTGGCCATGAATGGAAAGATCGTGGCTTTGCTATTTTCTTTTGGATTCATACGATAGTTATCATATTACTGGGCTCAATATTAGGAATACCGGCTATCAATTTTTATATCAACAATAATGTGTATGGTGTACTGCAACAAATACGACCCGACCTTGTCATCGGAACTGCTCTGTGTGTATTCATTAATGTAATAATTAGTATTATGTTACCTTCCTTAATAGTATTTTTCCTTCTACAATTATGTGCTGGTCAACTTATCAAATGTTCATTCCTTATAATTATAATTGTACAACTACTTCCGGGAATACTTCTATTATTTGAATATTGGCCAGCTAGCTTTATACCTTTTGGTTTTCTATTTGTCACTTTGATTTATTTAACATGTGTTCGAAAGTTAATCTCGTTTGCTGAAGTTCACTTACAAACTGGATGTGCTTCTTTACGCAATTATCCATCGTTAAAATTAATAGGAATTGTTATGCTTACTGTCGAAATTTTATGGTTTGTCTTTTGGTTTCTGATGGTACTCGGTATTTACCATTTTTACAACAGTTTTAAGTCAACTGTAATAATTGACCCAATCAGATATATACATGATACAGACGAATTTTTCATGTCCACTACCAAACCTGTATATATCATGAAAATCAATCCTGTAATTGATGTAAAATACGAATCAATCAATGATACAAAATATTTAACAAAGAATGTAATCGATAGATCACACATGTGGAATTTTAATACATCAGAATGGGATAATATTTATATTCGTATTGTCGTTTTATTTTTTCTTTTATTATCATGGTTGTGGGGTGCACTTACATTTGGAAATATTGCTCATTTCATTACAGTATGTGCTGTTGGTCAATGGTGGTTTCCTGGTAAATATAGCCAACAGTATTCAGTCAGAAATAGCATTAAACGAGCATTTACAACAAGTTTCGGTGCACTTTGTTACGGTTCACTCTTTAAAGCTTTAATAAAGCCTACGCGTTCGTCAACTGCTGAAGATAATCGTCGACAAAATATTTTCTCATGCGTTTTGCGTTATATTTTTCGACCGATCAAAAGAGCAATAAGTTATTTTAATGAATGGACATTTATTTATTCAACACTTACCGGTCAAGGATATCCACAAGCTAGTCGAAGTTTTACAGAACTATTTCAAAAACGTGGATGGACAGTAACTATTAATGATAATCTCATCGAAACAAGTTTTCTAATTAGTAATATTGGAATAGGTATTGCTTCAGCTTTAATCAGTGGTATTCTTATGCATATTCTAATAGATCGATTACTAAAAGCATTTGAAACATTTGTACTTTTCTATTTTATTAGTTTTCTAATCGGTTTATTAATAGGTGTAATTATTACAAGAATTCTTCTATCTTCTGTTCGTACAGTATTCATCTGCTTTGCTCTCAATCCGGAAGCATTAGCTGTAACTCATCCTGATTATTTACAAAAGTTGAGCAAAGCTTGGCATAAATTTTATCCGAAGGAATTTGCTAATAGTGGTTATGCAAATAAATTCGTAGAACCGACGGTGTAATTAGAAAACTTCTACTGCTTGACATTTATGAACACTTAAAACACTCATTAATTTTTGTTAATAAAATAATCATTTTCTTTTTGTAGATACAGAACAATTGTTTGTAGTGTCCTTCTAATACTTTATTAACCTTGTCTCTTGTCAATATAAACTTCTGTTTAAATAAACCAATGAAAGAAAAAACGTCTCGATTTCTCTGTAAGCGTGTGACTGTGCAGTTTTGTAGAATTTATGTATGTTTTGAGTGTGGGCGACTCACATACACTTTCTTTCATTTTGGTACATGAAAATTAGTTTCCCTACTATCCATTTCAACTATACTTCGTTCTCTTATAACATTTTGTAAATACTTGATGTTATATCTAGTGAATTATCATGGTTTTAAAAGTTAAAAGAGAATGAGTAGAAATTGATTCTCCATCACATACAGTCATCCACAATAATTTTCTATTCGTCATTTGTTCATATGTATTAATCGTTGCTTCTTATTTGAAAAGACACAAGTAACTATAATAAATTTTTTGAATGTTTAATTCGAGGATATATTTGATATGACTGTAACTCTAAACAGCAGAACTCAAACATATCCTGACTCAAACTCGCACCCACATCCACGCCCTCAAGAGCTTTTCCACACAAAACGATACAAAGTTCATGGACGTAACAAAACACAGGGTGTAGGCATGATAGTAATTCCCGATCTTTTTATGACATTCACAGCAATACCCACAGAACAATTTGATTGCTTTATTTTTATCATTTATTTACAATATCAACAGACAACGATTTGCAATGAAAAGTTGTATGAACTGTTAATGCTCATGTTTATACATGAAATAGGATGTCATCTCATAATGCTTCGACTTTTTCTGGTTGTTCAATGACATTAAAATCTATACGTTTGCATAAGTAAAGGAACACTGGCAGTAGTATAAGAAATATATACCAAACAATGTTGGAAATTATGAAATATATATGTCGTAGGCCAATCTAAGATTTGACTAGGCCATTCTAAGATCTGAGTTTGAACTAGTTCAATCTTTGAAGGAGCACAAATTTTTCATTAAAACTTAGTTTGCTCTCTTTATAGATGTTAAATGAAAACTTTTGTTGCCGAACTGTGCTAAGACAGTGGTACTTCGCATGATAGGCTTGTTGGTGAAATAAAGGGTTGGTGTGGCTATGATTTCTGTTTTATTTCTCACCCACACCCACCACCCACCCATATAAAAATTCATTGATGATGATGATATTAATTGTTCGACATCATCATCAACTGGAATATTAACTGTTCAATGATTTAGTGATGATGATGACGGAGAACTTTCATTGATCACCATGCTTGTATTTAAATCTATATATATATAAAGAAGAGTGTTTATCTGTTTGTTCGCTATGCATTTAGTTCCTGTAATAGCTAGCGTCACTAAACTTTCCTAGGTCCAGGGGAAGGTCGACAGGGTGTGGGTGTGAGTGAGGCTAATGTTGTGGATAAAGGTGCGATGCTGAGTATGAATCCTGGTGAGGTAAATAAACCTTAATAAACACTGGAGTAGAACTAAATCCCAAAGAATGAACCTGGTAGTGCTTCAATTTTAAGCATATTTCTGCCTATATCTCCTATCGTTTTTAACTTGCGAAGTTGTCAATGTAAATATTTCTTAATTGCCACCGGGTAGCCCCGCTAGTCTATTTTATAAATAAAAAGAAAATCATCATTGTACTAAAAATTTGACATAGTGGAAAAAAAGGGAAATAGCAAAGTAGAAATAAATCTTTAAAAAAACTCAAAACTTTCATTACCTCTGTAAAATAGCACAAATATGTATAGATTAAATTCTATACTAATTTTCAGTAAATTCATATGTTCTTCAGATCGAACTCAACAATTTCTATCGATACTATACCTCAATTTTCATCTTTCAAAATGTGACCATCGCAAAAGAAAACACTAATTTACCTTCTATATGACACAATCATAGAATAGAAAAGTGAATAGGTAATGAAACTTCATTTCAATCAATATGCATCGACATGTCATTCTTTACTATTCAAATAGTTCCACTCATCAACATTAAGGTAAAAAAGTTACTGTTTGTTGTTTATTATTCAATTACAGGAAAAATTAAGTATTACTTCTTGATGTGATATGAAAAAATATTAATGATGAAAATAAAATCTGAACATGTTTAAAAACACTTTGTTTATTGAAAAAAAATGAACTTATGTTTACGTTTCACAAACATAGAGAAAAGTAATGATTACTGTTCATGCCCAAAAATAAGAAATATTCATTATTATCTTTCTTAAAAAAATCATAACATAATTTGACATGAATTAAGTTTTATTGTTTGATGATGTTTCAATTGTTACAGCAGCATTGAACCATGTCACATATTTACTAGAAGTACGAGCATAAACATAGCCAGTACTGATAAATGCAGTAACATTCAAATATTTTCCATCAGTTCAAGTAAGTCCATCATATAGTTTGATGGTAGAATATTTATACAAAAAATAGAGAAATGGATTTATCTTCGAAAAATGAAAGTTTCATTTTCAGAATATAGAAAAGACTTAAATCTATATTTCTTCTTCCATTTCTGTATCGCTATGACATTAACAAAATATCTAAATAGTTCTTCTGAAGGGTAAATGAAACACATGTGTGTCTATTGTTATCAGCGAAATGACAAAATTTTTTTGTATTGAATAAGTCTTATTTAAAAAAGAACTTTCTTCTTATTTTAAAGACAATCTAAAAAGAAATAATTTTCATTTTGTAAATTATGTAATACAAGTTCTAGTTCATTTAATAAGAATTGTTCTACATGCGATACGAGGACCAGCATTTCTAAATAATTCATATAAAGATATTCTTATATAAATCAAAATCGATGAATAATTACCCTGTTGTATTACTTTCACCTTTTCCCATATGACCAGCATCATCAGTTAAATTATGAACCATTAAAGGTAAACAAATAACATTTGTTGTTTTGTTGAATCCAAGTGAAATAATTCGATCAACTAATTGAATATATGATCTCCCATTAATATCAACGCGAATATTACCTAAATCACCAGCATATCGTTTTAAAATTGGATCTCATGAGAAATATCTATGATACAATTAATCAAAAAGAAAAAAAAATGAGATCCACCAGCTGAACAATTATGATTATTTCCAATTGGAAATGAATGAATATGAAAATTCTAAGAGGGTGTGGGTGGGTGTGGGTGTGAGGTGTGGGTGGGTGTGGGGGTGGGTGGGTGTGGGTGTGGGGTGTGGGTGGGTGTGGGTGTGGGGTGTGGGTGGGTGTGGGTGTGGGTGTTGGTGAAGAGAAGACTAAGAACCACACCCACACTCACACCCACCATTGATCTAATTTGGTTGGTCGAAAAAGGATTTGAAGTAAGTCTTCAAGATTGTGAGTAGTGAAATTAACGAAGATATGAAACTTTCATATTATTATTTATGCAGTTTTTTTTCGAAAGATAATAGTAAAAATCAAACTTTTAAACTTTCTCTCCGAAATAGATTTAGTAAAAAAAATCCATAAATATTGATTGAGTAGAACTTGAGATATTCAGATGTTATGCTCAAGAATAAAAAATACAATAACTTTGTAATTGACTCAGTACATAAATTCTTAAAATAAAATCACTCAGATTTTAATGTATACTCAGGCAATTAAATCAATTTAGGTAATTGGTGTGGAATGTAGTACTTTGGCTGTTCAAGAACTATTCGATGAGTATATTGGCACAGGTAACTATACAATCGAAAATCGATCAACAACTTGTTCCATTTATTCTGCATATGATAATCGATTAGTGGTTGTTGTATGTGATATCTTTGCCGATGAACTTACTCCATCGCTTATTGGTGGACATGTTTCATTTGTTTGGGATCGAGCAGCATTAACTGCTTTACATCCTGCGAATCATTTGCTATACATCGAAAAATTAAGACAACTGTCTGAAGTTCATAGTCAATATTTAATAAGTGTGTATTGGCATCCAGAACCACCAGATCAAGGACCAGCATTTTCGATTAGCACTGAATGTATTAGTAAACTTTTTCCACATGATCAAGTATTGCAGCTCGATGATATAGATGCTAAAAATGAACGATGGGCTGATACTGCATTTGAACAGTTACGTGAATGTTGTTATTGTATTGAAACCTAAAGTTCATGTCTCATTTTGTTTGTATACAAGAAAAACAGCAGACTTTACTGAACTTTAATCATAGTGATTTTGTAAGATTTCACAAAACTTTAAATAAGATTTAGAAATTATATGAAATTCGTCTAATACGCAAAAAATAATACTTATCACATAAAGATTACAGAGGAACTTATTCCGTAGGATTTATTTTCGTGGATTTCGTTCTCATCATCGCAAGGTTTAAATATCGAGAAACAATATCGACAAGGAAAATGTAAATATGGAACAAAACTGAAAATTTTGAAGTTAAACGTGAATATAAATTTAATAAAAAGAAACTATGGTCTATATCTATATAAATAATGCTCGTCGAGGCGACGCGCTTAGCTCTCGACTGACTTTGACCTCATTGTTATATACTCCGAAAGTGTCTTCGTATATATATATACTAATTCATTCATTTTACAGTCCATCGTCACTGTTCCTTCAATCTTCCATTTCAGACTGCTCAATATTGCATATTACATTTATAACTTCCCACAAAATTCGCTTCTTTCTATTTTGCATATCCCACAAACCATCCAAGTACTTTGATAAAACTGTACGTCAAAAGTGAGATACTTGAGTGATAGTGCTTATGAGTAGTGATGTAAAGAGATCAGGGAACATGCAACAATAAACTACCGACCCTTTGAATTATACAGCAGAACTCTATCAAGTTGATGCAGATCGAATAAAATGAATAAATACTCTTAAGATTATGTTTAAACATACACTATCATATATTCCTAATACAAATGTGTGATTTTTATATAGATGCCTGAGATCATTGGCTATCAGATATTCCTTAAGGTAACTAATCGTGACAAGTGCCCTTCGATAGATGACAAGAAAATCATGAAAAACTTTGACGAGCATGAGGATTCCTAATGATAAGTTGTGCCGTCGAGTTGATATTTATTTCCACAGTTGACTTCTGCAGTGTTTGCAGTCCTCTCTATCCTACTTTGAATAATGACTCTTCCAGTGAGAATTTCTGACCACAGTTCTTATTCTTCAATTGTAATGCAAACTTCACATGAAACGCAATTATCGTACACAACTGAATAAAGAATAATACGCTGATATGTGACATTCTATAGGTCAGTGCTAAACAATGATATCAAACCCAACATAATCTGTAAATGGATATCTGTTAAGTTTTCGAAATTTACTTTGCATCACGTGTTATTGAAAGCAGTCATTCATCCTTAAAACTGACTCCTACGTTGTGCACCATCGGTATCCAGTTCTTAAATCTCTGAGAACTCAATATCTGATTGATCAGTTTCAGGTTCCTCTATATCTCATAGAATGATTTCCAACTGTCGTGATCTTCGAATGTTGACATGCGACAGACAAACAAACGCATTTGTTGTTTTTTCGTAACAACCTTCCTTCACATAAGAGAATATGCAGCTTTTCATCTCGATCCTTCGAATCTCTCCTTATGTCATATTCTTGAACCAAATACTACCTCAAGTGCTCGTTGATAGATGCATTGACATTGGTAATCATAAAATATCTTACCACTCCATTTATCAACTGGATAGCCGTTCTGCTATTCATTCCTATTCTAAATACAATCTATCTTCTATCTTGCTTGGAAATAATCTTCCATATGAGAATTCGTTCAAGCCATAATTCTCGCTACTCGCTTGTAGTACAATTTTACCTGATGAGTATTGGACACAACTAAATGAAAGATAGCATGTGTGTCTCTTTCAACACAACGGTGAATATTGAGTACTGACATAGAATTAATTATGAATTTGAATCTAAACTTGCAGAGTTTTCTAAATTTGCTCAGCACGAAGTGTTACCGAAAGCAGCTAGTCGTTCGTCGGCGTCATTAACGACTAGCCGCTCTGTTACTGCCCGATTTTATGACCTTCGGAACTTTATGGCTCAGTTTTTATCAAACTGATATTTGATTAGTCTGTGCTATGGTCTCAACATTTTTTTGATTGTTTGGCCTTTGAGGGTGTGGGTGGGTGTGGGTGTGGGTGGGGTGTGGGTGTGTGCGTGTGGGTGCGGGGTATGGGTGTATGTGTTGGTTGAAATAGAATAAATATCCACACCCACACCTTGATTCCCTTTGCTTTATTATTTCTAATTAGAATGAATCATTGTGATCAAATTAACCGATGTACATTGCATCTATTCGCTTCTCGACTAAAAACAACTGTATTTAGATAAACTAGAACAAATCTTATTTAGTTTGAAAGATCTATCTAGTTTGTTTATAAAATTGACTTAAACTCATGTTGTCCTACTGCAGTAAAATAACATCAGACACATAATTTACTATTAGAAGTCGAACTTTATCGTTTGATCATTTTTTTTCCAATTATGATTAATGATTCTTATTTTTAATTGACAACGCATATTTTATTTGAAAAATGTTTACTTGGAAATTTTAAAAAACAAAATTATATATTTACCAATTTTTCTTATTCTCAAAATTATCTAATTTTGTTGTTATATGTTGATTCAAGTCCTTAATTCAATCATTTCAAATTGATATAGTTGAAAAAACTATTAAGACACTTTATCAAACTTAGACATGGTATATCAACAAACAAAATTTCACGGTATTACTAAAACATACAATAATTATAAAGTAATTTTTCTATCTGTATCATTTTGAAATGATTGAATTAAGGAGTTGAAAAAAAACGTACAAGAACGAAATTGTATAACTTTTAGTAAAATAATATTTGATTCATAGATGAATACATTTCTTTATTACAGACAATCGACCACATTCCAATAAATCAAGGACTAAAAGATGTAGAAATGTTTGTTAAACTTTGAAACTTAAAAATATCAATTTTTAACGATCAAGACACATAAAAAATCTAAATTTTCATTAATTTTGCAAGAAGAAATGAAAGAATTAGGAATCGTATTAATCCTTGTCCGAACATGTGTTAAAAATTTTTCCAGGATATGGTTCCTTGCGAAAGAAAAACTTTATTTTACAAACTAAATCCGTTTTAATCTGTTTCTCTCTAGGCATTTAGTGACTAAGAAGTATGTATGAGCAGTGTTCCGAATGATGAGTGCACCAAGCAAAATCAAAGTGAGTACGCCACGCATTTATATTGATTTGTACGCTATTTTTCACTCCACTCGAAAAAATAGAATGCACACGCTGCACTCTGTTATAACATTTTTCACTTTGTTTTATATTTTAATTTACATTGGTTGTTTCATCTTTACAATGAATTTTCGTATTCATTATGTTCTTGGATTCAAACAAATAGTCTTTTCTTATTCTTATTTCAGATAATGAACAAAGAATAATCATCCGGACACTCTAAAACAAGATTTATATGAAAATTTTTAATTCCATCAACCAGATCATCATTTGATCAATCAAAAGAAAACTCAAATAACAGTAACAACCAAACGACTTCAAAACAGAGCTGTTGCGAGCAAGGGGTCATTCTCTAATCTTTAGAAATTTTGTTTTTTTGGCTCAAGATTTTTCAAAAACTTTAGAAGAATCTTCGAAAAGTTTTTAAATATTCTTTAAAAATGATCAAAAGTTTCTAGAAATCTTCAAATATTTTCAATGAATTTCTCTATTTATTTTTCAAAATTTCGATAATTTCTATACGTTTTTGATAGATTTTCGAAAAATTTTTCGACCCCAGTCTTTAACACCTCGCACAGTTCTGCTTCGAAATTATATTTATTTTTGGTGAACTAGAATGAATATCTAGATGTACAGATAGTCTTCTTCGCTGATCTGGTTTATGTTAATCTTATGATTTAATGATGATTTACATATTTTTTTTTGATTATTATTTATATGTATATATACACATAGAAGTCTAGAGTAAGGAATATAAACCATTATTTCTTTTTTCTAGACGCATTTATACGTTTGCACTTTGCTGCACTTTGGTCCTTGAAACGGAGTACTACATTTCACCTTATCTGCTGAAAAAGAGTGCGAGATCTCACTATATTTCGAATTCTCATTCGGAACACTGTGTATGAGCACTATAAGACCTACTCTGATTACACCTTGATTCTTGTCTATCTATCTTTGTTTCTTGTTTCTATCTATTAGATAATCAAAAATTAATAAAAATATGTTTCATATTATTTGATACAGTTACTTACATTTATTTGAATTAATTCTTTAGTTTTGTGACCAATCTATTCAATAAATAACATGAAGTATATTTGTGTCGATTTTTCCGATAGACTATATATATGTCGTGCCGAAGTTATAACTTCAGCAAACAGTGTAACTTCGGCACGACATATATAAGCATTCCATGCTATTCGATCGAAAAAAAGAAAGCAGTGAGTCACCCAATGACCTTTCCTCGCATTATCCATCTTAATAAGGAGAAAAAAAAAGAAATATGTATATCGGTCAAAAGAAGAGAAAAGATGTGAAAATGAACGAGCAAATAGTTCGGCACATTGTTAAGATTATATTCATTCGTTGTTTACCTTCGTATTTTAGTCTATAGTTACTCACCTACGAATCATCGAATCATGTACAAAATTAGAATCCATTGATCCATTTTAGACGAATCTCACATTGAAAAGCTCATATTTTTAAAATAAAAACTATTTCTTCTATGGTGACGTATCGAGAGTAATGTCGCTTATTTTTCAGTTAAAGTTGAAAAAAATATTTTACTCTTATTATTCAGAATAGCATTATTTGTAAGAAAGTATTAAAGACAAAAAAAAATATGGATGAGGGTGTGGGTGGAATGCGGGTCAAAAAGAGATCAAAATCCACACCCTCTGTTTCTTGTCAAGTATGTGATGCATTCTTTCATGCCACTCTTCTCTCTTCGCTTTTGTTCGTGAGACATGCTTGATATGTAGAGGCATGTGAGAGTGCAACGTTCGTTTCATCAGAGAGTGACATTCGATCTATGCTTGCGATGAGAAGAAGAGTCGAAATGAGGAGATATACAATAAAGGGATCACAACTGCTTACTCTAATGTTGACTAATGATAGTTTTTTTTTCCGAAGATGACTAAATCAAATATGGAACTGGATTCAATGTTTACTTGTATGATATGTTTGGATTATCCTAAAGAACCGGTTAATTGTCGATACTGTACTAACTTTGTTTGTACATTTTGCATCGATGTAATTTTGAAAATTTTTACTGTCATATTCATTTATACATCGGTCTATGTTATTTATAGAAATGGTTTCGACAAACTACAAATATTGGAGTTGTTAGCTGTCCGACTTGTCGGTAAATTGAATTTTTTAGTATTTAAAAACACATTTGATTTTCTCATTTATGAATATTTTTAATAGAAAACTAACAAAACGTAATGAATTCATCAAACTTGCTTGGCTTTCGGATCATCTAAAGCGGATTAATGAACGAACAAATGAACCTGAACGTATGAAAATGCACGAGTAAATCTTTTGGGTTACATTTCATTGTAGAAAACAACTATGATATTGATTTTCTAGATGTTCTCAACATGCAAAGCAACAATTATGTATATACTGTTCGACATGCTCGAAAGCAATTTGTGCTCAATGTATTTTACCTATGTTTGATGGAGAGGTGATGTAAAACTTGCTGAAATTATTCCTTGACGTGTCATCATAATCAAAAAATATATCTGACGAAAAATAAAATGGAGTTGATGTGTTATGACAGATGTATATTGTGTACCCTAGTCCACTTTCCCTAACGAAATCCCTGGGGAGTCCAGACAAATTTTCAAATCCCCAGGAAGTCCGTTACGTGAGTCCCATGGGAGTTCAAGTAGAATACGAGAAAACCTTCGGAGGGAGTTCCTGGGAAGTTCAAGTAAAATACAAGAAAATCTTCGGAAGAAGTTCCTGAGGAATCCCTGAAAAATCCCTAGGAACTCAACTGAGAATCCCTGGTGATTTTTCAGGAACTCCTCAGGAACTTCAGAGCCCAGGTCAAATAATCTGACGATAAGATCTTATACGATTCTTACAAGAATATACACGATCTTAATGTAAGATCTTGTATGATTGTATAAGACCGTATGAAAATCATACAAGATCTTGTACGATTCTATATGATAATCTTAAAGCCACCATTTCTGATAAAATCGTACTTTACGATTCTTATATGATCTTATTGTCCGATCTTGTAAGATTTTATACTATTCATGCAAGATTGTATACAGCTATCGTACGCATTGCATCACTGATTTTCTTGTAATATTCGCCGCTCTCTAGCTTGGTTTTCTAGCCACTGATTTGCTTATGTTGATCTCTTTTTCTTCAGAAAAAAAGTGTGTGCAACTATCTTTTTATCGTTCTGCTTCCGTTTAAGACTAAATTTATTCTTAAAAAAAACGTACAAAGCGATTTCATTATTGTAACATTGAAAAATACAATTAGATGAAATTAGTTTTATCAAAAACAAATCAGAGTTCGCTTTGCTGATAATTTCAATATTGTCTTTAGGCAATCGATCACAGCAATACAAAATAAAGGCGAATATTAAAATGAGCTTAAGTAATTACATAACTATAACTTGAAAAATGGTTGCAATCATGTTATATTAGATAAGATTATTTTAAATTGATTGTAAATAAAAAATGTGTCAAAATAATTTTATTTTTATTGAAATAGTGAAATCAAGTAATTAAATAAAATTATTTTAGTGTAATTTGAATGTATATAAATAACTCTAATACAATAGTTTTATTTTAATCGAACAAAATGAATGATCACATTCAATTAATTTCTGTTAAATATAATATTAAAAAATAGATATTTGGTTGAATTGATTTTGGTCTAAAATAAAAATACAATAAATCTATTAGATTAATTTTGTTTTCATTAGGATGAAATATTCACATTGAATTGTTTTTATTCTAGTATAACATAAATTAAGTAATACTGTGAAATAAAATAAAAAATCTAGTGTGATTAAATCGATTTCATTGTATTTTAATTAGTAAATAGATAATAGTATTAGATTATTCTAATTTAACGGAAAATAAGTCAATTATTGATATTTAATGGAATTTATTTTGGTTCACATTGATTTAAAATAAATAAAAAAAAACAAATATCATTTTTTCTAATTAAAATATATCATGAAAATATTAAAAAACTATTCGATGAAATAGAAAAACAGTAAAATAAAATCAGTAGAATTATCATTATATAAAAAAAAACTGAAATAATTTTCAAAATTTGTATCTGAATATAAAATAAATTAGTCGTATTTTGAAAAAAAAATACTATGTATAACCGTACCCAACCGAACTGAAACGTATATAACATGATTGTAACGGTTTCACGCCTCTTTATATGATCGATTGTGACCATTATCGTGTTAGAAGTCCTCTATGTTGAAGAGTTAGAGTAAGATAATTTTGAATAATTTCATCAAAAAATAAAAAAAGATAATACTTAATCGTATTTCTAGACAAAAATATGGAGAACACCTTTTTTCTATGAGCGTAAATGACTAAACAAATTAGTGAGATATCTTCATTAACCAACAATAAGTTTGTCTAAATCAAATGAATACGATTAGTGATTTGATTTTCACAGAGAAAAGCACCACTGAAAGATGTATTTTTAATTCGAAAAGACGTGAGTTTTAATTAGAACACATTCAATTCTTGAAAAATTGTTTAAACTCATAACCTGTATGGTTATAAAAAAATATATTTGCACAAGAAAAACCTAAATTATGATCTTACAAGATCATACAATATCTGATAAGATTCTGATCATCAGATTTTGCAAGAATCTTACAGCAAGAATCATATAAGATTTGTAATAGCATCTTACAATAAGAAACATATCAAATCTTACAGTAAGATATTTGTACGATTCTGCAAAATCATACAGTATGAATCTTGCAACATCCGATTGTCGGTAAGATCTTGTAGGATCTTATACGATCTTTGTAAGATTTTTCCGCCTGGGAGGAACTTCTTCCGAAGATTTTCTTGTATTTTACTTGAACTTCCCAGGAACTCCCTTCGAAGGTTTTCTCGTATCTTACTTGAACTCTTTCCAAGGACTTCCAAAGGTTTTCTCGTATTCTACTTGACCTCCCATGGGATTCACGTAACGGACTTCCTGGGGATTTGAAAATTTGTCTGGACTTCCCAGAGATTTCGTTAGGGAAAGTGAACTAGGGTAGTTTAGTGAAAACAAATCTTTAGTGATCTGCAGTAAGATTTTCTTCATTTTGGAAATATTTATTTAGCATATCCACCATACTCATTCTCGACTCGATGCTGCACAACAACGTCTTCTTGTGGCTATTAAAGAACAAGAAAAAAATGTACAATCGGATTTGGATCAATTGGAAAAATGTATTCAGATTAAGGTTTGATAACTGTTTCTTTTCTGATGCATAAACACATTAAGATTAATGTAGGGTTCAATCATCGATCAAATTAAAACACGTAGAAAAGAAAGCCTCAATGAACTTGAAGAATTTCAAACAAAGATTAAAACTGAAATTGAATCTGAAGCTATGAAATACCTGAAAAAGTTTCAAGGTGATCTTTTTATTCCAACTAAACCTTAAATAACAGTTTAGAAATCTTTAAAATTTTAATTTTTATGTTTAGATGAACAAAAGAGTTTAATAGACGAAAGGAATGCTTACAAACAGAAACAAGCTATGCTAAAGAAAGCAATCACATCGTGCAATCAAATTGAATTATTCAAACAAGAACAAAAAATATTTCAACGCCTCTCACAACGACCAAAAGTTCCTAAAGTTGAGAAAGTTGATTTATCGGATGATATAGGTGGAAGGTACAAGAAATAATTCTTTTTTGAAATTGTAAGCATTCCTTTGGGTTCTATAGTCCTCTAGCACTTCCTTGGCAAATAGGTGAATTTGTAATTGAGCAATTCTCCGTCAAATATCGAAATAGAGAGCTAATGTCAAGTACTTCAATTCTACTTGATCACAATCAATATTGGTCATTAATTATTTATCCAGTTAGTTCTCTTTTTCGCGATAATCAAACAAATCAACATATTGATATATTTAGAATGGAAAAGATCTTCGTACCGATTTTTATTTTTCTGTTATGTTCAACTTGAATAAGGGTGCACCACAATTGATTGGTTACAATCTCTTTGTCGAATTGATTCATCATCATCATGATGATAGTAAACATAACTATGTTTTAAAAAGTATTCGATGGTTTAAAGAAGGACAATCGAATGGTTTTGATCAGTATGATTATTTTTCTCTTTTATTTTTTCTCGTTCTTTACAATTCGTGTTGAAAATAGACATTATAAATTGAACAATTTATCCATTGATGAATTTCTCAATCCGAAAAATGATTCGATTAAATTTCGTTTTAAACTTCGTCCATTATCAATTTTTGAAGAACGTAAACTTTTTCAATGGCAAATTGAGTAAGAAAATATTCTTATTAATTATTCGAAATTTACAAATATATCGCAGAAAATAAACAACTTTTGAAATATAAACTCGAAATATTCAGAAGTTATTCGATCGTATGTATTCTAGGTCTGACAATGAAAATAAAACTAAACAGAATCAAGCGATGAAGAAAATTGAGGATGAATTAGCTAATCTACGACAGTAAATTTTTAAAGATTAATAGAATTATATGATTTAAATTCTTTTGTAATGTATTTAGAGATGACAGAAAAAGAAGACAAATTATAAAAGATCAACAAATTGAAATACAGAAAATGGAAAGGTTAGATTTATTATTGTAAAAATTATTCGAAAGAATTTCATTAATCGTTTAGATATAATTCGGAATTTAAACGAAAACGAACACAATCGAATGGTGACTCTAGAGATAATTTAAATAATCAAGAAGATCGTCGATTTAAGTTGGACCAAATAAGAAATGTCATCGTCAATCATGAAAAGCGTTTGAAAAATTGATTATCGTGCTTTATGATGTTTAACATTTTGTACTTTTTTTTTTATTATCCTTGAAACATTTCAATAACGATATTCTTTATGAAACAATTAGTTTAAACTTTTTATTCGTGTAAAATAATATATATATCCAAGAATAAAAGTATACACTAAAGAAAATGTAATTTCGTTTTCGATTTCGATAAATGGAATATTTTATCTGTAACATGAAATAAATCATAGATAATTTGTGAAGAAACATTATTCATTATATTGTGTATAGACAAATTTTTATTTCTTAATATAGCATATCGAAGAACGCATACCCTCGATTATATTTTCAAAGATAGTAATCCTATTAACATTCTGTTGCTAAAAGTTAAAGAATAATGTCGTTTGAAAAGAAAAAAAAGTAACCTAAGAACTTTTGAAATTTCTTAGAACGAATAAAATTCTCTGAACAAGAAAGAGAAGTTTTTAAAAATGTATTCGATGAGTTTTTTTAGTAATCGAAAACGAACTGAACATAGAACATTTAATTAAAGAGTCCAATGAAAAGAAAATAATAACTAGACTACTATATGTTTGAATATGAAAAATATCCTCATTCAAACTTCTATTCAGAGATACGCGAAGGTTTGAAGATTCGGAAGGCAAAGTGGAAACTAGTTTGTAGAAAGATAGTATGGAGTTCGATGATCTGCGTCTCCTGTTTTCTTAGTATTCACGAAAAATTTTTGACTATTCGAGAGAGAAACTATGCACTTCCTTACACCTCCATCCCCCCCTCTCCAACCAACATGCCTAAACTCATATGTTTTTTTTTTGTTTTCACAATTTATTTAAGTCATAAGAAACTTGAAAAACTGTACTTTACAAAGTGTGCTGCTACTCTGAGAGTCAAGCAAATGTAGCTTTAATTTTCTATCTCACTAACAAATTATTTGCTTTGTTGTACGAAAGATTAATTTCTTAAATTATGTATAATATATCTCAATAGTAGACTAGCAGACTTTATCGACTATTCAGTTATTAAAAATTGCTATATCTCTTGTTTAAAGCATAAAATTAGCGAATCAATTGTTTTTCTTTGAATACAGTTTTCAAGTTCGTATTTTTGTTTTATTACTATTCGTTTATTTGAGAACAGAAATACTCTGAAAACCTGTTACAATCCACTCTTTGTATTTTACAGAACCTTCCATCGTACACTATTGTATCTTGTACATCTTTATGTGAGGATATAAATCTCGCGTAGTTGTCAACGGTGATTATTAATTATAAAAATTCATTTTTGATTCTCATACAAATAAAATTCTAAAACACCTCGTCAATTATATTCGATGCAATTGTATGAAAAATAAAAGCTTTATAAAGTTTCGCTTCTGTTTGTATGCATATTAATACTGAAATAAGATAATTAAATGAACATCATTGCTAATGATCGTATTAAATTCATTTTGTTTCTTTTTCAACTGTCGTTACATTTGCCAATAACATTTCTATTGATTTAATTCTTTACCATCCATAGTTGGATCCATTTTAATAGATATTATTGACATTTCAACATTTAATATTTTTCTTGCTTCTTCTTTGTTTTTTAACTGCTTCATAAAACATATTTTTACTATCGAAGAATTTAATCCAAAAACATCAGCTTTATTTCATATTGTATACATTTAATCAATAAAACGATATGTATATATTTTATTAATTAAAATCGATGTTACCATTGATGATGTTATATCAATTTTAATATTAAGTTGTTCAATAACAAATAATGATATATAATTTTAATAAAATTCAATTAATGTACTTGTTTTAAGTGATGTTAATATTGTTAATAGAAATTTTTCTGATGCATTTAAACGATGTTTAAGACGAAATAATGCATTATGTACATATAATATTGAATAGATATACTCAAGCAAAATTCATTTGTTTATTATGATCGTTTAATTTAATTATAAAACGATTTATTGATGAAAGAATTTCATCTTCAAATAATGTAAATGATGATGATAATTCAAGGGCTGATAACATTTTTCTTATTGGATCGTAATAATCACGATATTCTTGTGTACCTGTATGAAATTTTCTACTTTTCAATGGAAAACAATCAGTTGTAAATGTATGTAATGTACGATAAAATTCGTCGAACCATTTTCTATGTTTATCTTCATCATTATCAAGAGATGCAAAAAGAATTGTAATAAATCAAGTAAACGTGTTTTAAGGCCACTCCCCCACTCAAAAATGGATCTCAGTTCAGGAACACCCAAATTGCATAAAACTTTCAGGACATGTTGGGGTTGGTGAGCCATGACTATAGTAAAATTTTCAGCCCTGTAGCACGAGGTTTAACAGAGAGATTCACTCAAACAAGGTCCAAAAATAGCTTTATAGCATCTCCAAGTTTTCTCTGTGAGTCCTCAATCTAGACATTTATTATTTTTTTTATTTGAAAGAGCATGTCAGGATGCAGCGACTCTCGTGGCCTTTTTTTAAAGAGTCTTATTTTTTAAAGGAAAAAGACAGAGCGAAAGTTCAATGACTCAAAAAACCTCTCTAAAAATTGCTCTGTCCCGATAGAGATGTTATCTTTTATGATAATAAAAAAGCTTATTTTAAAAAAAGGGACACGAGAGTCCATAGCTCTGAACACGAGCTTTCAAACAAAAAAAAAGACTGAATATTTTGGATAAATTTGCCAGGAATTTTGTATAATCGCTGTCACGTTTCTCTTACAGACAATGAAAATATGTGTACAAAAAATCTAATTTGCACTAGATTCTACAAATTGTAACTAGAACAAAAATTATGACAAACTTCTGCAAAGTACAGCACTACGAAATAGCATCATTTAAGATCAGAATACACACTATGGTCAATTTGAAGATAATTGAAAGAGCAAATATTAGTTAGAGAAAATTGAATGTATTATAAATCTAGGAACGTTAGATATAATATATTCTTCTGTTATTTACGATGTTCCAAATCATCTTGAGGTACTTTTTTAAACAAACTTATTCATTATATAATCTCTTCTCATGCTCGAATCTTTTCAGATAACAAGACAATTCATTATTTTTACATAACCCAATCAGAAACATATATTATAGTCTAATAATAGATATAATCCTAATGAGTTATATATTTTGGAATCATTGTTCGAATATTAAGATCTTCAATTGACAATCAATTATTCTTAATATTAAAGTAGAATGTAGCTTGAACCTGAAGATTTCAACAAATTTCAAATACTAGATTATTCGTTTAGTTTTTGAATAAACTTTCCTTATGGACAGTTCTATTTATCATCACACATGTGCCTAAACATTTGAATTCTTGATTGTTATCGAAAATTTAATAATAATACAGATTTTCAAGATTATAATTTTGCCAGTGTTTGATAAAATAGAAGAGAAAGAAAAAAAAATACTGTCAATCAAAATGAATTTTTAGTATTGAACACGATCATCATCAGTAATTAAGTGTTGAATGAACATATGCCATGATGAATCCTTCAATTCAAGCTGTTTACAATATATACCATTACGTTGGCTAGTTTGTTGATAAAATAAGATAGCTTTGTTAATTTGTTCAGTCATGACAACTGGCAAATAGTTGCAAAGTTGGGTCTTAATCAAATGAAAAGAAAATTGGAATAGAAACTGACAATATCAAAAAAAACGAATAGATTTACTTTGATTTGCTCGGTATTATTTAAAATTTGAGACATATTTTGTAGTACAGGTTCTATTTGAAGAATCAGCCAGAGAAGAATGATACCAGTACCAATCAAACGAAGAAGTTCGTTGCGTATGTTCAAAGCTAATACAATAAAATTTATATTTTCATATATATATTTAAGTGATAAATCATGTAATGTTACCCAATGAATTAAAACCTTGTTCGCGTAAATAATTCTCAAGACTATTGAAAATATCGATGTCAATATGAAGTACATCAGCCAAATCTTTATTCAACATAAATGAACCGTCCTGTATTCGACATGAATCGAGAACAAAAACAATTACAACTAACAAATATTGAAGTTTATACTATCTTGGATTGACGTTGAAAAAGTTCTTCAATCATAGTTTTTGTAAAACGAACTTCTTTGAGCTTACCGAGAAGTGGAATACCTGGAATTCGATCTAGTTTTATGGATGATTATAGTCTATGTCAATAATAATAATAATAATAATTTTAAAAAAAATTACCGTAAGATGTAGTAAGTTCACCCGAAAAGTTATGATTTATAGTCTCAATTTGTCCATCAAGCTAAAAAAATTGACACTAGGTGAATAATCAAACTATGAGAACGTAACGTAATACGAACCATGTATAATGTATCACCAAGTTTGTGATCATGAACTAAAACACGAAATTGAACAAAAGTAAGTATCATTTTTTTTAAATACTGACTAGATTTAGCTGCGAAATTTGGATCATTTTGAACAAATGTAAGATGTCGTTCAATGTCATCTCTCGATAATTCTGAATAAATTTAAAAAATATTTAACGATGACATTAAGTTAACAAATTATTGTCTTACTCGTTTGAGCATTGACATTGATAGTGATTGAAGCTTTAGCACTTGAACGTGGCTCTTCAGCATCGACTCGAAGTACACCATTGACATCAATATTCATACGAATAGCTATTTCCAAAGTTCTCGCAGCAAAATTGGTTGTTAAACCACTAAGAATGAATATACCTAAGAGCGTCTGTAATAGAAGAAGCTATCAATGACTGCATTTTTCTGAATCTAAATCAAGACGTACATTGTATTTCGTGAGGTAATGTTCACCTTCAAATATACGAATAGTAGCTGTCGCTTGATATGCATAAGCATTAGTGAAAAGTGGGAAAAGTTGAGTTCGTGTTGGAATCATTGTATTACGGCAAATTATTTTGTGCATATAACCATGAATATCTTCAATGCCTATACTAAGTGGACAAACATCGATGAGGAGTAGATCATGGATCGGTGCATTCAATTCTGAAGCTTCTGCTATTATTCTTGAATGAGGGCTATACTGTTTTTCTTTAATTCTGTGAAGGGTATCTGTTTCACTTATTCGATTGAATATCGATGCATATTCTGAACGTACACATTCCAAGCCTTGCATAGCATTACGATCGAGATTATTCTAAAAGTAAATGAGCACATTCAAAATAATTACAAATTCATCTACTTACGCTAGCGATTTTGCATGATTCTTTTATTGGAGTGGTAACTTTTCCAGATGCCTTATCAGATGATATATCTTGCTTTAAAGAGAGCCAAGACGAAACCGATGCTAATACTTCATTTTGTGTGTTCTCCTTCAAACTTTGTGCTTCGACCATAGCAGCAGCTCTACCATCATGTTTACCAGTGAGTTTCTTTACCATTGGGGCACTTCCTATGTTTAAGGTTCGTTCATCGAACTAACCAAGAAATATGTGTAATTTTAGCTTACTACCGTTCGACTGAATTTTTAGTGTCTGCATGTAGTCGCTTGGGATAAGAGACCGCGATGAAGCCGTCTGTGATAGTAAAGATTTTGATGATGATGGTGCTTGTCTTTGCGGTAGTTTAGGTAGAGGAGGAGGAGGAGGAGGAGGAGGTGGTGGTGGTGGTGGTGGTGGAGGAGGAGGAGGAGTAGAAACGATAGCATTAAAAGCAGCATTTCCAAACACTATATCCATTAAAAGAATTGAAAATAGATAGTAATACTGCGTATGAAATGAATCTAATACCAGATACAACTTACCAGGCGCATATGCTTGCATCGGTTGCGGTTCTGTAGGTATAAAAAACGGATTTTTGTTATTCATAGTATCGGTCATTGTTGAACATCGATTGATAGGCAATTCTCTTCTCCATGAAACCGATAATATCGTCTTTGGAATCGTCTCGCTAGATGATTCTTGTGATACTCTAGAAAGTCCATCGGGAACAATTGTATGGAACATGGAAGTCATCATAGGTGCATCAAATGTGGGTCTGATCAGCGAAGATGACTTTAATATTCCATCTCTACGTCTGCTTGCCATTTGTCTTTGTCTGAATTGCAGTTGTTGTGGTACAAATGGTGGGGGTGATGGTGGTGGTGGTGGTGGAGGAGGCGACTGCCAAGTCACAGATGATGAAGGAATCGGTGATACTAATTCGAAGAATCAAAGCAAAATTTCTTAGTTCTCCAATAGAAACAATATATATTAGTAAGACTTGATTAAATATATTAAGACCAGTCTAATAGAGTAATCTTATCTAGTTCTCACTTTGGCACTATCCTAGACTATTTTGCCTGACTAAGCAAAGGTATAATACTGAAAAAGGAAAAAATTTCATAGAAAATTATATTTGAACGAGTGGTAGAAATATTATGATAGTTATGCCTTTGTTTATAATCTCTATTGAAAATACAGGTTGTTCACACCGAATAATTCTAATAACTAGACATTAATTGTATTCCATGATAGGCAGAAATATCTGTTAAATTAATCTCATATCTCCATTACTATTCTTCATAATAGTTTGAATCTAATTAGTACTAGATATCAATGTAAAATCTTACTTTTAGCCATATCATTATTTGGATTAATATCAACAAGACATGATGAAACAGATGTTGTCGATCTAATAGAAAAAAAAACTTGATAGTTGTGCTACAGAGAATTCGAAAAGAAAACAGACTTTGCAATATTCATAGAGATTTCGTGTTGAAATTCAGTTGGTGCCAATGATAGTAATGGCGATGGTACAGATGTTGACTCTATCAATAGTATAAAGAAATGGTTTCGACATTAATAATTCTCTTACTATTTATCTCACGTTCTTTTTCTTTCGTTACTTGATTATTAGCATAAAAAGTCAGTATTTGATTAGCATCCACTTTTTTAAGTAAAATGAATATTATTGTCTCCTCATTCAGCCGCAAGTATTAGACAAATGTGTAATAAAGTCAATTATGACGCAACTTTTAAAGATTTTCCTATTTTAATTTATCTTATTTTTAAAACATTATTTTATAACAATCATTCATATGATTATGTTCGATACACAGATCGTGGTGATACAAATGTTTTCAGAATTATTTTCAACATATTGACAAAAATTTCATTTTTTAATCTTCTTCTGGCATTCGAGTATAGTTCTGCTTTCTCTACTAAGGAGATATGTAAAGTACTATTTTACTTCTAAAACTATGGGTATAACAGACAGAAAAATATGTATCATTATATACTTCAGAACTGATTTTAGATTTTGTCTCATTAAACTTTTATAACTTACTAGACGTCGAACTGGAAGATTCATCGAATAAGTTAAAGGCCATCTCTTCACTTTCATTATCGGATTCTTGTAGTTCCATTATTTTTTTCGATGAATCTTCGCCGCTTATTAACATCCTTCCTAAAAGTAAATAAAAAGTATTTCTTCATGATATTAAAATTCCTTTTCTTTACGAAGTAATCATAAAAATGAATAAGCAATGTTACATCTATAGTTTTATGAGAAAAATCAGACTAATTGAGTTCATTTGATAGATTACTAGCGTACCAATCAATATAGTTATAAGTATTGCTTCTTTTACAAAAAAATCACATGAACAAAACAATTATCAAATCGAAGTAATGAATCAGGATTTTAGTTTAACCAGTTACTCAAGGCTTTAAATTATCATACAGAAAACATTAAATAACTGTAGTCGAGATTAAAAATCTGTAGAAAATTTAAAAGCATTGTACAAAAGTTTAAATAACTATAGCAAATATCTATACTGTATTTATTACTTTCACAGAGCACATTTTGGAGCCGTTTTAATGATGGTTTGCACAAACGGTCGATTTGTTTGATTTGCGACCCTATCTGAAAAAGAAATATTCAATATTATTATGGCAATCTTTTAAAAATAGTCAGAGTGAAGCACCTTATCACCCATATCCAATGCTATTGATTTTAATTGAGATAAGTACTCCGTCACTTTGAGAAGATTAGAATCCACTAAAACAAGAGTAAAGTATTAGTTTAAAAGCAAAATATATTCTTTTTTTTTTCTATCCCACGCTTATAATTTCGTTATTTTTAAATATTTCAGTCTCAAACAGTGTCCGACACGGGTCGGGTCGGGTCGGGCCACGAAAAACATACTTGACCTCGGGTCGGATCGGGTCACAAAAGTTTTACGAATTCCCAACTTCACATAAGGAAAGTAGCAATTCTAGATGAGATAATCATTTCGTTATTTCAAATACCTATAGAATATGTATCGATTTACTAAGAGGATTGTCAATGTCTGAAAAAAACTCACTTTGATTGGCCAAAAACTATCCCTCACCTCGGGTCGGGTCGGGTTACGAAAAACATTTTTGAGCTCGGCTCGGGTCGGGCCGGGTCTAATTTTTCTGAGCTCGGGTCGGATCGGGTCACAAAAAAAGTGACCGGTGTCGGACACTGGTCTCAAATTTAAATTTAGTTATGAAGCTCAGAAATCTTACAATACTATAGTTTCTTTTTATTGTAAAACGCTTCTTTCAACAATACAATCATTTTTTTCGATCCATATTGTTATAATGATCGTTCGCAGATGAATTTTGAAAAATCGAAAAGATTTTTAATTGTAGATTATTCTTAGATTATAGATAATTTAGTATTAATATATCATACGATAATATTTAATACATTTTTCTGGAAAAAATAAAATTAGTTTTGTAATCGAAATATGAGATTAATAACAAAACTAGAGTTCAAAATCGAACAAGTTGATGCTTTTTGATAGGACCCAGATTGAACTGTATTGCATTCTTTTATGTCTCAGCCCTACTTTGAAGTACGAATAATACACAAGAAAAGTTCTAACAAATCTAAAAAGATTTTTGTATTGCTTACGAGGGAACATCCCCAATTGTCCCCTCGCTTTTGGATCGAGTATATGTCCAAATGATAGACCTCA